CATATTTTTACCATTAGTATTAAAGTTATCTCAACTTAGTAAAACTTCTGTTGTGTTAAATGTTTAGATTATCAAGTCCCATCCTTGGCAAAACTCAAAAATAGTGTCTGGGATGGGGAGATAACTCAGTGGTCTGAGCACCTGCCCGCCAAGCATAAGGACCCCAGTTCGATCCCCAGTACCGCATTCCTTGCCAGCCCTGAAACGGGGTATGGTGGCCTACTCCTGTAATCCCTGCACTGGGGAGACTGAGACAAGTGGATCACTGCAAGTCTGAAGTGCACAGTGAGACCCTGTATCCATTAATGCATAAATGAACTAGTGTTTGTAAGCTACCATTTATGACATCACAGGATGCTGATCTGTGTTGTGTCTGTCTCTCGAGGTCACATGGGTGATATGCTTGACAATCTGCTCTATTCTATATTGTGGTCACTGGCATTTACACTAAGTATATGTGGCTATTTATTACGTGTGGAGTTTCGCTTTTGGAAACATGGACCTTACTAAACCCTAGACTCAGTAAACTGTAGTTAAACACAAACCAATTAAGTGCCCAATTATTCAAGAGCAGAATTCCAACCTGACTTACTATTTTGTACGTTTATTTCAACAAAATTTTTAAAACAACAGAAAGGAAAGAAAAATCTTTAATGCTTATACCTGTTTTTTATGTGTACTTTGAATAATTTCTTGATTGGACTGACATGTCAAACATAAGTACAAGACCGACTTCTCCACAGTGTTGAGGTCTTTACAATGTCATAAGGCATCTTAGAATGGTGGCTCCTCAGAAATCACATCTTTTTAAAAAATTGGGCCCGGTTTTGCCACATCATGTGTCTTCTCTGTCTCATGGCAAGTCAAGATAAAGCTATTTATGCAGAATGTAAGTACCTAATTTATATGTAGAGGAAATGAGTGCTATTTAAGTCATACAGAAATTTGAGACAAATGGAAATTTTTGCATATAACATAAAATACTCTCTGAAAAAAATAGTGATAAAGCCTGAAATAGGGAAGTCAAAACAATATACTGAGAGCTTTGTCAGATAACTTCATTAATTGAGAGACAAAAGACATTGTACAAGCTTTACTTGTGTAGCATACCACACAAATGAAAACAGAGAAAGCAGGAACTTTCTTTGTAAAACAAATAACACATTGTTTTCTCATGTTTTAAAGGTGACCACCTGGGACTGGACCCGAGCAGAAAAAACATTCTCAGTTTATGAGATTATGTGCAAGATTCTCAAGGTATGATCAATAAGAGATTTTAAAAAATATCTAAAATGGTGTTTCCTCAGCAAACTATATTTATAGGCAAATAATTCCCTAATGCAAAAGAACTCTAGAGATTTAAAGAAAAGACAGTATAAAGATAAAAATTAAAATAAAAGAAACATAAAATAGGGGCCAGGGAGATAGCTCAGTAGAATAAGCGCTTGCCTGGCAAGCACAAGGGCCTGAGTTCAATCCCTGGTTCCGCCAAAGAAAGAAAGAAAGAAAGAAAGAAAGAAAGAAAGAAAGAAAGAAAGAAAGAAAGAAAGAAAGAAAACAGAAAAATGTGCAGACGTTCTGCTAGAAGCTTATATAACTAAGAAGCATTTGCTGAAATTCCTCGGTTAAGGAGTAAACAGAAAGGATCTAGCAAGGAGGATCAGGGAGCAAGTAAAAAAAAAATTAATAACGGTCCAAATTTAAGCCTCCATTTTTGCCAGTTTAATTTTTCTGAATAAAATAAGAAGCAAAAAATGTAAACAAAGCTTGAATTTAGAAGAGATATAGGATTGATGATATAGAGATAGATGATTAGGTAGACAGACACTCAGACTGGCAGAAAAACATAAGTATAAGAAAGGTACATTTATTTTTTTTTTATTTTGGGATTTGGCCATATCTCTGGGAACATGAAAGGGAACATTCAGTTATCATAGATCCACTATATTGCTGTGTGGCATGTAGAATTGTTACAATAAAAATACCAAGAATGGGGCCGGGGAGATGGCTCAGTGGAATAAGCGTTTCCCTGGCAAGCGCAAGGGCCTGAGTTCAATCCCTGGTTCCGCAAAAACAAAACAAACAAACAAAACAACAACAAAAAAAACCCAAGAATTCTGTAGAACTCTAAATGATGTCCAAAGTCTTTCCAAATAGTTAAAATGGGAATAAAGACTATGAGCAGTTTATTTTAAAATAAGTTTTATTGTGTATATTTAGGCATATGACGTGATGTTATGGTGAACATATAATGAAAGGTGTACTCTGGAGCGATAGACTAACACGTCATTAACGTTGGATAGTTTCCAATTCATTTTTTTAATTAGGAGCAGCTAAAACTTATTGATTTAGCAAGAATTCTACATCCAGTGCAATTTTATTACCTGGTGTCCTTATGTTATACATTAAATATATTTATTGCTCCTCCTTCATGTTTGCTACTTGGTATCCTGCGACCTACACCTTATTTCCCTTCTATTCACTCCTGTAAACCACTCTCTTTTTCTCTACTTCTGTATATTTATATTCCTTGAGTTTTTTCCATTCTACATGCAAGGGAGATCAGGTAATAGTCTTGTTAGTGTCTGGATTACTCCACTTACGAGCATAATAAGAGATTATTAACAAAGTGCTCTCTGGACTTGTCCTTGCTGTGCCTACTGGTAAGGCCTCTATTATGAGGGCTGAATCATACACCATAATATATATGTGTGACATAGTTTCTCTATTTTCTGTCAGTAGATAATTAGAATATTTCTGTATGTTGGCTGTTGTGAAGGACGCTGCAACATACGTGAACATGCAGATGTCTTTGCTGGATGGTGACCGTATTTCCTTCAGGTATATGTCCAGAATATGGTTACCTGGGCCCTAGGATAAGATCTGTTTTTAGTTTCGTTTTCTTTCTTTCTTTTTTTATTTAAGACAGGGTCTACAGGGTCTATAGGGTCTCATTGTGTAGATCGTACTTGTAGTGATTCTCCTGTTTACTGCCTCTGAAGTGCTGTGAATGCAGGAGTGTGCCACCATGCCCAGTCTCAATCACCATCGCAGCATGCCCCAGGGCCAGGGATAGAACTCCAGACCCCTGTATCTGCCTAAGTAGGCGCTTTAATCCACTGAACTATTTGGCTAGTCCTTTTCTTTAGAAATGTTCTTGGGCCAGGGAAATAGCTCTGTAGAACAAGCACTTGCTTGGCAAGTACAGGGGACTGAGTTTAATCCCTGGCACTGAAAAAAAAAAAGAAAAAGAAAGAAAGAATATTCTTAATATTTTACATAGCACCTATACCCATCTGAATGGCTCCTAACTATGTGCAGGGATTTCTTGGTGGTGCACACCTCATTAACATTTTTCCTTCAATGCATTCAACAATAACCATCCCAAGAGGTGTGAGATAGAGTCCTGTCCTGATTTGGGCTTGAAATTCTCTTAAAGTTTTTTTAAATCATTATTTGTATACCTGTTGGCCTTAGTTATGTCTTTCTTGGGAAAAAAAATGTCTATTGAGCTCTTTTCTCTATTTTTCCATTTATATTTGTAAAGAAGACATAATATTGATTCATCTTTTTAAAATCTATCTATCTATCTATCTATCTATCTATCTATCTATCTATCTATCTATCTATTCATTCTGGTGGAACCGGGGATTGAGCTCCGTCCCTTGCGCCTGCCAGGCAAGCGCTTATCCTACTGCGCTATCTCCACAGGGCCCCCTTTTTAATCTATTCATTTATTTGGTACAGGGTCTCGCTGTGCAGCTCAGACATCCAGGTCTTGTAGTGGGGGTAGCATAGCACGTGGTACTGGGATCAAACCCAGGTCCTTATGCTTTCCAAGCAGGCACTTAGACCGTCAATCTATCTCCCTGTCCCATGACTCATCTTAGTGAAGTACATTGCAGTAACTCAGTACATGTGATAATGTGCAATGACCAAATTAAGGGAAGAAGCTTTTCCATCCATTAAAGCATTAATCATTTTATATCAGGAATTTTCTCATCATTTTGAAATATAGCATAGGTTGTGTCAACCAAATATCCCGGTCAGTGCTGCAGGCAGAACCGAGCCTCCCCTCTCACCATACTTAGAGATGCCCTTGTGAGCCCTCTTCACCCTTCTTTTTTTTTTTCATAAATTTATTGATAAAGAAATAGCAATGAGACAGTTTCAAATCAAATAGCTAAGACAGTTTCAATAACTAACACACTGCATGCATTCTTCTTAGTGGTTAATTGCTGTACAAGATGTGGACTTGTGATCCTATTTACAAACACCATTAGAACAAATCATTCTATTCATTAACAGAATGTAACTATATATCTATCCTAACCACTTTGAATATACAGATACAAAATGGACTTTCATCTGTATACCCCTTTTTTGCTAAGTTCCATTATTTGAATATTATAGGTGTGTAAACTCAGCAAAATATTCTAAAAGAGTACAGTAGCCCATAATAGCATTGGGTCTTCTGTTTAATTGGCAGTGTCAGAAATTGTTGACCTGAGTCCCCCACAGCTCAAAATAATAGCATGGCTTTACTTCTTATATTTTGTCTTCATACTTTTCTGCTGGATGATTAAGACCAAGGTAAAGCAGGACCTATGCAACAAGAGTTGTAGCTTTTGGGTCTGATAAGGTCAGTGAAATCCCCTCAGGATTTGTCCTGAGATCCTGTACCTCAGATTGTAGAACCTTTGTCAGTGTCAGCCATGTGGATGAGTCACGGCCATTGCTTGGCCAATGTGCTCTCTGTGAAAGCCTGAGAGAGTGTTTTCTCTCCATGTGACTCTCCTTAGGCACACTCTACATCATCAATCACTTTCCTCTTTGGCCCCACAATCTCCTTATCAGAAAATCTGGAACAGTACCCAGGTACATGACGTTACAGTACAAGTTCTCATATGTCCTGAGTCTTAATTGACTTACCTGGCAGGGGAGATACCATGATGACCCTTCTTTCCCTGTGCTGCTGGCTTCGCGTCGGACAACATGGTTGCCTCCCATCCTTCAGTCAGGGTGACATTTCAGTCTCTACCAATGTGGGAAAATGGGTGTCATTTGTCTTTTTGTGTCTGGCTTGTTTCACTGAACGTAATAACCTCCAATTTCGTCTATTTTTGCCCATTTTTAATTTTACTGTTTTCTGTTTGTACTGAGTGACTTTACTTTTTTTTTTTTTTGTATCACCCACTTATAAGATACGTGGTGTACAAATATTTGCTCCCAATGCATAACCTGCCTGTGTATTTTCGTCCTTGTTTCATTTGCTATTCAGACATGCTTTAGTTTTATGCATTCTTGGCATTATTTTGCCTGTGTAGTTCAAGCTTTTGAATAATACCAGAAAATAAATATTATGCAGAAAATTGTTCTTTTACCTATACTCTCCTTTTGGAGTTTTAGAGCTTCTTTCCTCACATTCGGTTCTTTAATCTATTTTTATTGATCTATTGATGTAGTATCATGGCAATTGTCCTCTTTTGTGTGTAGAAATCCTGGCTTTCTTGTGGCAGCTATTGAAAAGAGAATCCTTTCTCCGCTGTGCCTTCTTGCTGTCCTTGTGAGAAGTCTATTGCCTGTGTGTGATTTTTGGCTATTTTATTTTGCTGTTTTATGTTTGCATTTTCCTGCCAGTACATGCTGTTTTGAACTTGGTATCTTTGTATTAACATCTTCAAATATGGAGTATAGAGAATGCAATATAAAGCTTCTAACCTGATCTTCTTCCACTCAAAATTAAGCTCTTTGGGGTGTTTTCTGCTTCATTCTGCATTTTAAGATTATACTTGCCCTATCATGAAGAACGCCAGCGGAATTTGATAAGGGTTGAATTATGTCTGTTTATTGCCTCATCGTATGAGCATTTTTTGTAAGATTACATTTTCTGATAAATAAGTATGAGATAGCTTCCCACTTACATATGTCTTAAATTCTTTAATCCTATTTTACAGCTTTTAATGTAAAGATCTTTTACATCCTTAACTAACTAGATTCCCAACTATTTCAATTAATTTTTGATGCTGCCATGAATTTGTTTGCTCTTGATTTTTCAGTTAGGTTAATATAGAGGTGTAAAAACACTACTGATTTGTTTACGCTTTTTCTGTATCCTGCCACAGTACTGAATTAATTTATTGGTTCTAGTAGGGTTTTCTTGAGCATCTTTGGTATTTTTTCCTACATGGATTATATCACCAGGCAGAAGGATAAATTGACTTCTTTTCTAATTTTACTATTTTTTTATCTGACTT